TGCCGATATTTAGAAATCAGGGCAGCCGATGGCCGATATATGATGCCGATTTTTTTGGCAGATATGTTTGGCCGATTTTCTTTTTTTTTTCTTTTTTTTTCCCCTTCATCTCATAAAAGTGAGTTTGAGTAAATTATTATTGCAGGGTACAAGATAGTAATAGTAGTAGTCTAATTCATATTAATAATACATGGCTCAAAACTTAAGCACCTTCTCAAAACAGTTTTGAAAGCATGCTTTTTGTTTGTTTGCTGACAGACACCAGTGTTTCTCACAGACTTGCAAATGCAAATTCATTCTCTGCAGTGCTCAGTTTATTCAACGAGCCACCACAAATAACTCAATGTATAGGAAACACTGGACACTTCTATAAGTCAAATGGCCAAGTGATAACATAAATAAAAGAGTTCACATATATTGCACAGCCTGCTGCTCATAACTGCTTAACGGCAGAGTGAGGGATTTCTGGTAGCCAATGTTTATATTTGAAATCACGCTGGCCACGAGCGATGACATCATGGATGCTATTGTCAGACCCACACACACATTTCATGAGGAAAGTTATCGTGCATGTTATAATCAGCCCAGAAGTTTCATCTGAATTGCATGTGTTTCTACTTTCACATGCAAACGACTTGCACTTATGAATATGATAACTTTCCAGCATCAATTCTAGTAGGGTAAAACGTAATTACGCTTTCGAAACGGTCTGTTTTGCCCTGCCATCATTAGCTGAAACTGTGTGTGAACAAGCCGCGGCTGCAGAGTGTGAGTTGCTACGTCTCTCACGCAGCCAGAGAGAGATTCTCCGTCGTTCCGCAACAACGCTTAGCTGCCCGCAGATGCGCTTGCCTATAAATCGGCCTAATTTGCAGCACAATCGGCCGATGCAGATTAATTAAAAAATGCCAAAAATTGTCCGATTAATCAGTCGACCTCTAATGGTGCTGTCTGACTACACACTGGATGCGGTGCAACACGACAAATCCCCGACAGTCAACTGATGCCTCGTTTATGACGTACTGACACAAAGTTCAAATGATTTGTAACGGTCGCTTTGTCGCGTCCAGTGTAGACAGACTGTAGATGTTCCCATGTAGACACGGTGTCTGCGTGTGAGCAAAGAAAACGATCAGTATAAATAATAATCAGTATACTAAACGTCGCACTTCCTGCGATGTGACTATCGCGGATGCGCACATCGCGATATCGATGCTGAAGCGATATATCGTGCAGCCCTATTATCTATTGTACATGTATTCTGCTTTATGATTCTTTCACTTTTACCAGCTATATAAACAAAAAAGTGGGTCTATTCCTAATCAAAATGACAGCACATAACCCCATCCATTAAAACAAAACAAAAATACTAGAATAAAGTGCAATTAGGTGACTTACAGCGCCATCATATGCCAAAGCCTCTTTTAGAGCTTCCAAGTCGTCAAACTCTACATAACAGAAACCTGGAGAACGAAAACAAACAAAAAACAAACAATTTGATCATTTAGTAGACGCGTTGATTCACATTGATTTTCAGTGCACTAATTCAAGTTACATCTAACAGCATGTGGGTTCAAACCCATGACCTTGGTATTGCTGGAGCCACGTTCTACCCATTGAGCAACAGAAAGATAAACTAGCCACACATTTTGAGGTTTGATTCATGTCCACAGCACAAAGTTAGGCGAAAACCCAATATGAATAAGCAAACAATATTCCTCCGTAATCACGCGGAGATCAACCCACCTTTGAACTTGTCAGTCTCTTTGTCTCGCACTAGTCGAACGCTCCTGATGCTGAGGTCTTTGAAGATGGCATCTATGTCTCCTTGCACTGTGTTGAAGGGCAGGTTGCCGACGTACGCCGTGTAGGGCGGCTCTGTGGGAAGCTCCTTCTGCTTTCGGGGTCCGCCTGGGCCACCGCCGCCGCCGCCTCGGGGTCTGCGGTCCGAAAACAAACAACCTGATCAGCTCTAGGGTTGTGACGGTGAGGAAATTTTCCCACCGGTTAATCGACGTGACACAACACCGGTAATACCGGTATCATCGCGGGGGCGGGGCGTTCCCCCTCTTTTCCTCCGCTTTTAAATAGCTTGTAAAAGCGGTGTGCGCATTTTACTTTAACTTTCAAATAGCGGCAGACAGTTTAAATAAAGCAAAAATCAGCAAACTATGTGGAGCCAATTAAAGAAGAAACTAATGTTTAAAAAAACTTCCAAAATCTAAATTCAAAAGGCTTTTCAAAATCCAAAATATTGCCAAACAGGCGCTTTTGCATCTAGTTTCGAAACTAAATCATCCGCGATCGTCTTGTCTGTCTCACTCCACTCTTCTTGTCAGTCAGCTCGACTCACTCTCCTCACTGGAGAAATGAAATCTGATCTGTGATGCGACTGTCGTTCGGCACGCTGCATTGAGCAGCCGCGTTCAGTTTTTAATTGTAGTGTCTGTTCTTTTACTGAACTAAATGATTTTTATTACTATAAAAAATCAAAACGACGGTGGGGGTCGGTGACGCGGTGGGCAAGTGACGTAACCGGTGTTGTGGCTTAACAACGGTATCACAGTCAGCACCGTCTATCGCGGCAAGCCTAATCAGCTCTACACATTCTAGAAATAACAACACGCAGCTAAGTTATTGATCTAGACGTGAGACTCAAACACTGCAAACAAAAGACGCACACTGACTGATAAAGCCCCCCATGACCACTCACTCGGCTGTCTCTCTGAGTCCTTTCAAAAATCTACAATGTGTCGCTTCAATCAATCACAAACACTTCTGATGGTTTTGTGTCACATGACATCCCGAAAAACCTCACATTCACAACAACACAGAAACCTTGCTTCTGGTAGACATTTGTTTTCCAGGCCATTTTTGTCAGCAAATAGAATTTGTAATAAATAGTGGTTGACCAGTAAGAGTTTTTTTTAATGGCACATATTTCAATGTTATATTTACATCAGTAACAAATGAATTTTTCCATTAAGGGGTAATTGTGCAAGTCTAATCTTATTTTAGGTATGCATCATGTTTTAAGTGAAATTGACTATGTTTACATGGACATCAGTAATCTAATTATTTACCTTAATCTGAGTAAAACAATATTATGATTAAGGTGTTTACATGAGTGGCTTTTAGAATATTCCTTTCATGTTCCCGTTTTACGTGTTATAGTACATAGATCGATCAATGGCACGTCATTACGTCCCCACGCGACGCCATCCGACGTCCCCTCCAGAATGTCACGTATAAACATAGTTCATCTTCGTTATAATGCCATACACAGTTTTGGGTGTTTCATTTTTAATTTACTGAAAGCTTCAAGTGCAGTTAATTATTTGTCATGCTGTGCAAACAGACGACAGAGCTGTAGAAGCCATGCTTATCTGTTTGCCGTGAAACGGTTGACCACTGCCGTGTTTACACGACAGTAATAGTGTGATTAAGGTGTGCACATGTCTGTACTGCACTTCAATAATGCGACTAAAATAGGAATACTCCACATGTCTTAATTCGATTTGTGTTTACTTCAAGTATGACTTTAGTCGTAATTAAGGTATCTCTGAAGGTAATTAAAAATCTCTGTTTACATGGTAGATTCTTAATCAGAGTATCATCTTAATCGTGTTAAAATTGGAATAGTGTTGTCCATGTATACGTACTCATTGTTATATTTAATCAAATTTATTTAAAATACTAAGACACTATAGGCTGCTACTAGACTTGTGCCGGTATTCGGTAATCCGATATATCACGGTAATGAGTATGCACGATATTGTTATCGTGGGCAAGCAATTAATCGCAACATGAAAATTTGATACCGGCATATCCCTAGCTGCTACTAATCAAATCAGTATCAACAATGTCCATCTTTGCATTACAGACAGAGGCGGTGCAAAAACTGCTTTTGAAGTGTTTTTAGGTACATTATTGCTGCTTAGTGATGAAAAAAGATCTCATTAGCAATAATGCAGCATGGTCAAGGAAGCCTAAAGTACAATACAGAACTCATTTTACCAGGTTTCCATACATCAAATAAGCACGCACTTTCTGTTTCTATATTCAATAGCTGATAAATGCCACGCGCAGGTATGCAAATAAAGCCGTATGACACATGTGCATGCCATCAGGTCGATCTGATGGACGGAAAACACAATAAATCTTACTTATCATATGGACTTGTGCTGTTGATCCGAGAGCAGCGGCTAAACATTCAATTTGCATGGACGTGATCTTTTCCATGTGCACTGCATTTCAACGACAGCCCGAGGTACTTCAAATAATAACGTTACAACCGTGCACGTCCAGAAAGATGGAAGTACCACGGTATTTTAGTGGAAATGAGAACAATTCCACTCATAAGCAGCGGGTTTAAAAACAGCAGAGTAATATAGATGGGAGTCAAACCCGTGAGCGAGGCCCAGTGCTAAAACGCGCTAAAACACGCCGTCGCACTGATCACTCAGACCGATTATGACACCAATAACTATATTCAATAGCGATAAACAAGCAGCAATGTTTTACATAACGTCTGCGGGCACTGAAATGCTGAGTCGGCCGTGAGACATGAAGCCCATGTGGGCTGAGTTTCGTGGCCGGCCTTCATTCATCACAGCGGGAGCTGCTGCGTGGCCTAACGTTACCCCCGCTCGATGTCCCGCTAACCCGCGCTCACACGCGCCTCTCCGCCGCCTCCCGCCACACGCGCGCCTCACCGCTCCTCTCACGCGGCCTTCCTTACCCTCTCCCCCCGCCGAAGCTCCCGTAAGCCCGGTCCCGGTCCTCGTAGTTATCGTAATCCGCCATTGACGAAGAAGCTGTCCAGAGAAAGCAGCAGTCTGACGCTGAAGGACCCCAAAATATACGGCTGCGAGCTTTAGCTGCCCTCTGCGTGCCTGAGACGTTGCCAGTTGGAGGTTTATAAAATACATCTGAGAAGGGAAAGAGTAAATAGGTTTAAAATGTCAAAGTATGACGTACGTATATTCATATTGGAGTCTGTATGCAAAAACACATTTTTAATGTGAGTAATGGACGATTTTTTCAACCGGGCAAAGGCGAGGAGACTCGAGATGCGATTTAATGAGTTAGTAACAGCTAACTCTTTTTGGAGACTGGAAACAATTCCAAGAAATAAGTGAGACTAGAATGTTGACAATAGATATATCGATAGAAGATGTTGATGAATTAAATAAATATATAAGTGATGTTATTTACAAAACAGCAACTGATGTAATTGGGAAAAGCACAGGGAAAAGGAGAAAGAAGGTCGTACCATGGTGGACAGAAGAGTGCAGTGAAATTATAAAGAAAAGGAACAGAGTATTTAAGAAAGTAAAAAAATCATATTCATTTAATGATTTTATTGAGTATAATCCCTCGGTTTAATAAACCGTACCCACGAATTTCCAATCCGTGCGTCAGATTTTGTAAACCGTACCTTCGGTTTTTGAATCCGTACCCACAAATTCATAATCCGTGCGCACACTTTCGCAATCCGTCCCCTCGGGTTTGTAAACCGTACTCACGGATCCATGCAGTGAGCTCCTAGGTAGCCTACATGTTAACGAATCATATTGTATATTGTTATTATTATTTTAATTTATAGGTTAAATAAATGAGTGCACTCAAGACAGTAACATGTTTGTCATAAAATAATTCATGAATGCTTTATTTTTAAATAACGCTACTATGAAAAATAATGTTTAATAAACACAATACTATGCATCCCGCACCGTGGTTGAATCTGCCGGTGGGGGCGGGGCCACAAATCCATGAGTTTACAAACCCGAGGGAACGGATTGCGAAAGCGTGCGCACGGATTATGAATTTGTGGGTACGGATTCAAAAACCGAAGGTACGGATGCGACAGGCGTGTGAATCTTTGAGTAGCCAGCGAATCGATTCGATTCACGATTCATAGGTGTTCGATTGGATCCAGGAACGATAGCGAAATAACGTTAATTACTTATATTTTGCAAATCTTAGTTGCGCATGTTTTGCTTTGAGGATGTTACCATAGACATTAGATTGACTGATTGATTGATCGATTATTTATTTAAAGCCACCTTGTTACCTTAACAACATGTAGTTCTAATGTAAACATTTTCTGAAATAATTTCGTGTTGATCCTAATAAAAGGTTTTGAAGAGTTTAAGTATTAAGCATTAATAAATTGATCTCCTTCTCACAACGTGGATCATCACACGAGGCTGTGACACTGTTTTCCCTTAATATGCATCTCATTTTATTTGAGCTATTATTTTATTTTTTTTCAAGCTAGGCATGATTATTACATTAAATCTTATCATTTCAGATTTGTAAACGCAGCTTTACATTTTCTGTTACGTCTACAATGTGTCAATTTGTTCCAAACCTGTATGGGTTGCTTTCATTGTTTCTTTCTAAATGTCCCAAATACAACATATTAATAAATACACACATTTATTGTATAGACAAAAAGAGCGAGAGAGACTAGAAAAAATCTCAAAGGCATCACCCAAAAAAAAAAATTCTTCAGGAAGAAACTAAGGTTTGGAACAGTTTGGATTTTTATTTTTGGGTGATCTATCCCTTTAAGGCTTATGTTGGCCCTTCAGGGAGGTCTGCTGAGTACATACTGCTATGACCTACTGACCTTTTATATTTAAACTGAACAAAACACCAATATTTATAACCGAAAGCCCATTTACAAAACAAGTCTTGAGGAAAGACGAGAAAAGAAAGAAGCTGGAAAGAACCAGCCTATACATCAAACAGGCAGTTTCTGAGATTTAGCCTGGTGGGAGGATGCACGTCATTTTGTATAATGTATAAGCAATGTCTTGCACCATCACGTGGCTGTGAGAAAAACTAAACAAAAACAACCACCAGCTTCCCATCAGCCACTTCAGATGAATGAAACGATCATCTAACGGCCATCTGAACTTATCATCAGTCAGTTGCTTTAAAAAAAAGTATAATTGATGTATATAGTGTTTTATTTTAATATTAAATATTACTGCTAAATACTGTACCTGAAAAATATAGCACTGTTTGTTTTATTTGTATATTATGTGTATTTGTAATGTATATCTTTGTTCTTATTTTCTAATAACAAAGATAAAATAATGACAAAGATTTTTGGCCTAAATGTCTGCCATTCTTTTAGATTTTATATTTTGTTGAGGTGTAAGAGGTGTTATGTTTCTGCACTCTTCCATTTTTAGCAAATTAAGAAAAAACTTTGTCTAAAAACAATTTTTGGGATGGTTTGTATTTTTTGTGGTCTGTATGGAACATCAGTGCCTGTTTAAGAGTGCTATGTGAAAAAAAAAAGTTAACGTACAGCCCTGAATTGTAATCACTATTTGGCATTTCATTGCCATTTAAAATAAAATAAAATAAAAATTAAAAAATTTTTTTTAAACAGATATTTAATATATTTCACAATTAATATAAACCAATTAAGTACAATAATTATATGAAGATTAGAAGCAATGCTGAAATAGTTTTAAGAATAAGCATGACATGCCACACTGTAGGACATTGGTATTGTAAATAATAATAATAATAATAATTTAAAAAATGACTATAATTATGTTTTAATAGACCACATTTGCTGGAAATACATCAGCAGCAGCAAGATGGGGGAAGGAAAAGGATCTTTGAAGGGACCCGCTGTGAAGACGAGCCGTACATCAGCCTTGTAAGTAGACTGTGATCTCTATCTCATCTCCTCTCATTGCAATTTATAACATCTTAGATTAATACAAATGACAGAGTCCAAGTGTTTCAATAGAAACAGTCAGACAGAGAAACCACTTCTATCTAATCATCACTTTTTTCTAGCCTGACCATCCCAGACCAGTTCCTCTTGAGGTGGCTCTGACAGTCATGGACAACCAAGGCCCCCGCTGTCGCCACATCATAGAGGTGCTGGACTGGCACCTTTACATCATGGTCCTAGAGCGGCCCTCGCCCTGCGTGGACATGCATGATATTTGGGAGCATCACGGCGGCCTCTTCAGAGAGGATTTGGCGCGTTATTTCATGTGGCAGGTGATCACCGCTGCTGCCGTGTGCTGTTCCCGGGAGGTCTTCCATCGGGACATCAAGATGCCCAACCTCCTGGTCAACACGGAGACCCTGGAGGTCAAATTGATCGATTTCGGCTGTGGAGACCTCTTGAAAAGCTCGTCCTACATCACTTACAGTGGTATGTGTTATCTAAAAACAAGTAGTTACACCATGTGTTAATCAGACGGGACACAGCAAAATATTAACAATGCACTAACAACATTCTCAGAAAGCCAATGATAGTTTTATTTTTGTTGACTAAAATTAAATGCCATTACAGTTAGAGTAAAGTGAGAAAAGTGGTAAAGCAAACTTACACATGTGGCAAACTCTTTCCTTCAGGGACAGCAAGGTACTGTCCTCCTGAATACTTTGAGAAGGGCGAGTACTATGCGAAACAGGCGACGACGTGGTCGCTGGGGGGTGCCGCTGTTTAGGATGATCACCAGCCTTTTCCCAGACAGCAGCGACATCGGATGGATGGATCGGACACTTGCCATTCTTAATCACACAAAACAGAAAAAAACAGTGGCTTTATAATGGATAATGCAGGAATCTCTCCCAGTTTTACAGCTTAGAGAGCAAGTGTAAAGTTGAAGAACACTGATTACGTTCAGTAGACAGCGCGCGCATGCTGAATGTAAACAATGCTGATTACGTTCTGGGGTACTCTCCAAAATGGCGGAAGACGGTAACTCTGGGAGACGAATTAATGACAGAATTTTCATTTTTGGGTGAACTAACCCTTTAAAGGTAGACTTCGCTCCATCTTTTTGCACAGAATGCTGCCTTTTCATTCGAGGTTGCCTGAAGAGTGACCCAGAGCGGCATATTCATCTGGAGGAGACGCTCTTCCATGACTGGTTCAAGGTAAGCTAAAATGATTTTGAAGATATTTTGCCATTTGCTTGTTTGTTTCTTTTTTGCCTTTTTGTTAGTTTGATTATCTGAATATGGACATGAGCTTCTTTGCACAACCTTTCATTAACTGCTGCAACTCTCATTCAGTCAATCCTTATATACTACACAGATGACAAGTTGTATTTTTAAACCTTATGAAGTATGTTTGTCTAATTTGTATAATTTCTAATTGTGTTGCAGGTCCCCCTGTAGGTGATGGAGGAGAGGGTCAGCTTTGTATCTGGTTGGCTGACAAGGGTCCATCTCTCCAGCCTTAGCGTCTTGCAGGGCTGGCAGGACTTGCGTCTGGCGCCTTGGCTTGAGGTGGTAGTTTTAGCGTCTTGCGGAACTACTTGCTTAGGGATGTGTATTGTAAATAGTTAATTTAGTTCTAGTTAGTTATGTTGGCTTTCACTCATTCATGGCACACAGAGCTCTTTCTCAGCATGCCTTGGGTTCAGAGATCTTGTCAGGGCCGCACCAGAAATGCCTGTTAAGGCTGCCATAAAGGTTCCTGTCACTGCTCAAGAACCTGCTGAGGCTCCAGAGAGGGTCCTGACTTGAAAGTCCCAGGATGCCCATTTCACAGCTCTGCTGGTACCAGAGGTCCCTCAAACTGCCGCTTCCTGCCACAGGCAAACGGGAAGACGAACTATGTACTAAGTAAGACATCCTAATATTCATGCATATGAGTTACATGAAACCTCCACTGGATGGAGACAGAGTCTGATCTTCCAAACCTTCAAACAAGGCTAAACCATACAGACGTGTGCTTCAGTTAACATGAGATGGGTGGAGCAAAACTGCTTTCCCTCCAACATCATGACCTTCTCCACCCGTAACCTCCATTTACATTGACAGTCAGAGAGTTACAGCATAATTCTGCTCCACAGAGAGGGAGGGAGAATCACCTGACTTTGTATTTAAA